CTTTTAATGTTGTGCAGTAAATAAAATTAAAAAATAAAGAAATTTAGGTTATAAAAACGTCGGTTTACAGGTCTCTATCCAGTTTACAAGCCGGGCTCCAGTACCCTCTTAACACATGGAATATTTTTTTCTTATCTGAACAATCGATCTGACAATACGAAATCGATCGACGCGACGTTTCGGTGCGACGTATTGACGCGACATATCGGCGCGACGCATCGGTGCGACGTATCAGCGCGACGCGTTGAGCAATCTCGTCGCTGAGTCAAAGCGACCGTTCGACGAAACGCGCCGTTGGTCCCGCCGTCGAACCAACGACGCGAAGGAACGCTTCGTTACGGTAGCGCAGTTGGCAACGATCCAGTTTTTTCGGCGTACACGCACACGGCTGCGAAATCCGACGCGTTCTGCGCGTTGTTCTTCCACGCGTCGAAGTCAACGGTGTCCACTGTTTTCACCGTGTCGTTGGCAACTTCAACAGCGTGCGTAACGATTGTTCTCGCAGCGAACTTTCGCACCAGTGTGGTTCGTCGTCGCTGTTTCACAACGACCCGTTTGTCGCTCAGTTTCCTGAAGAATTTGGAAAGTTTTTTGTCGACCGCGGTTAGTCCCAAGCAACGCAACGTGAGACCGAATTCGAACACCAAATCGTGTCGCACAGCTCGTTCGAAATCCAACACGGCGAACAGCAATCGAAACGTACTCTTTGCCACGTATACGGTGAGACGTAGCCACTCGACCTTCTTAGTGGCGTACGACAACGTTTCCACGTAGAACGTTTCCTTCGGAACGTCGGCGTCGACTTCGGTGTGAAGAGTCGGTTTCGTGTTCGCGTCGCACAATTTGCGAATATTGCGATCGAGAACGCACAACGTTCGTTCGTGAGAATCTCGCATCAACCGCACGTGAGCTTTTATGATCCAAGTGAACACCTCCAGTTGCGGATGCTTCGTTCTATTGTCGCTGGCGCACAGAGATCTGTTGTCGATTTCGATCAAAAATTGACTCATGTGCGAAGTTTCACCGGTGTACATGGCAACCACTTCGTCGAAAAGAATGAAAGCGAAATCGTTGCGCTACACGTCGTTCGATGGCAACGGACTCGAGACGCGTTGAGCCAACGGTCGTTGTTTCGTATAAATACGCTAAGTTCTTTCCACGCGAATCGTCGTGCGAAAGAAGCAAACGGTAACGCGTTAGGTGCAAAGTGCGACAACGGTGACGGAACCAACCAGGGGGGTCAAGCTCACTCTTGAGAAAAGTGGGGACAGTTTTCAGCGCCGCCTACCGCGAGGACCACATTCTTTACGAACTAAAAAGAGTAGTGGGGGTAATA